CAAATGCTTACTTAGTATTTACCACATCAAATGCTCTTATCAGGCCATCAAAGGCCAAGTGGGAGAAGCGAAGTGCTTTGTTGCAGAAAAACCCAGTTGAGGATTCAATTTATCACCAATTAAGATGTAACAGGATCGTGTTATTTTCTATCTGCCAATACACATGACTGTATACTAACCCATCAGCAATAAAATGACCATAAGATGGGAGATGTGAGTGGAAGCAAAGAAGAAATTATGGCAAGAATACCTTCATATAATAACTGTAATCTGTATTGTTTATTTTGGCAGAGATAATTCTCTCCCTCCTATGTCAGAAGTTATATACTAAGGTTGGTAAAATCTCGAAATATCTTTCAAGTACTATATATTTAATTTTTTTTTTATCTTAGGAGTTTAATAGTCTCAGGTCACATCCATATTGATAAATTATTAGCATGATGAAAGGTATACTGATGAAAGCAGTAATTAGCCTACTTAAATTATAAATGCTTCCTTCAAATGATGTATTTTTAAATCAGTTTATTAAAACCTCACAAATATGTTAGAAAATAATACCAACCACCGTTTCTTACACTGTAAGAAAATATAGCATTTAGCTTCTAAAAGTGGTTGGAATTTTCAAGTGCCAAATATTCAGGTTTTAGATTGTTATGTTCTTACTATACAAGTTTAGCATATGCTTCCATTTGAGTCTGAAATGCTGGCAAGACAAACACCGAATTGCCACCACATATCCTTAGGTTCAGATATTATCAAGTAAATTCTCTTTGGGTTCAAATTATGCAAACAGTTACAGTGATGCTAGTTAAATCAGTTGTGACCTTAAAGTCAAGTCATAAACCATTAAGTGTGTTACTGTTAATGTGAGTACTGCTTACATAATATATAATCTTCCAAACTGCAGACTTAACACAACAAATCATCAAAGCTTCATGACCTTAGTAGACAATACAGAATAAGTTTCGGAACCTGGCAGACCAGGATTCAAATCCCAGCTCTGTCCCTTACTGAATAACCTTGGGAAAATCTTTAGAAGGATCATTTTCACCTGTGAAATGGAAATAATACCACCTAACTTCATAGGATTGTTGTGAGGATTGCATGATATAATGTAGATACTCAGTAAATGGTATCTGTTATTACTATTTTACTAAATAGTAAAATATTTTTAGATGATAAGTATTCAGAGTATTCTTCCTTATACCTAAAATATAAGAAAAGCAAATATGGCATCAATATCACCTAATGATATAGGAGCAAATATTCCTCCAGAAAGGTCTTCAACTAAAACTTTAATATGGTTTTTCTTATTATAGATGATGCTGGATATTTATAACACTTATCAGAAGATTACTTCTATTTTATAATTTTGCATACTTTAGAAATGTTCCAGAGAAAACTCTAAAATGCCATGAAGCATTCATTATCAATAGACCATGTGCTTTAATCATTCTTGAAATAAAATATTACCTACTATCTTTTCTAATGTCAATTTATATGTTTCAACACTATTAGATGTAAGTAAATGTTGACCTTCAGGGAATTGCTCAAACTTTCTCAAGAGCTTTTGTAAGCAGCTTTAAAAATTCTATTCAGTGCCAGGAAAAAGCAGTCTCTTCCTGCCAAACAGTAAAAGTAGAATCCAACTCTGATTCTGGGAGAAGGCCATCCTACCCCTCAGCTAGTGAGCGGGTCATCCTGGTCAAGCACAAGTCCCTTATTACATACCAGGGACCAGGATTTTATGGATTTTAGAAAATTAATACCATACTTAAACCTTGTAACTCTTCCAGAGGGGTCTGAAACAGCATCTGGAAATCAAACATTCTAATGTTTCTCAGCAAACCTCAAGTCGCACTAATGAGGAAAAAGCTTCCTGTCAGTTTAGTTCAGGTTTACCACCAAAGTAAAAGTAGCTTTGACACTAAATTTAGCAGGGGTTGAGGGGACTTTTGATTTACATTAGCCCAAGTTCTGTTCTCAAGCTACAGAAAAAGCCTAATACCTTTTTCAAATATGTGAAGAAAAGGAAACCACCATGTCTCTATCCCTTACACCTCCTTTTCTTCAGATGCCCCATCTGTAACCCAACTAGAATGAAGACGGAATTATGATGGTCCCTACTCAAGGTTGACAGGAGTAAATATCATGGGATTTTCTCAATAAATATCTTAGCCAGGATGTGATACACATGCCCACTAAGACAAGTATTATTTTCATTCTTCTTCCCTAAGTATCTAGAACATCAACAACTCTTTCCTTTATCTGGGAATTATAATGTTAACGGTGGGCCTCTCAAAAACCTATTCCAATCCTTATTCCCTTCCTAACAAATAATATGTTTAACTCTCAAAGGCTTCCCTCTCTCATTTCAATCCTTTCTGAACATCTATTTTTATTTTTATTTTACTTCTTAGAGAAAGCATGGGTGGAGGAGAGAGGCAGAGGAAGAGAGAGAGAGAATGAATATCCCAAGCAGGCTCCATGGTGAGTGTGGAGCCCAACATGGGGCTTGATCTTACAACCCTGGGATCATGACCTGAGCCAAAATTAAGAGTTGGACACAACGAACTGAGCCACCCAGGTGCCCCTGAACATGTATTTTTACTTTATTTATGATACATACAGTTACAGTAGAGTGAAATAAATACATCAATTTAAATTACTAATTTCCAGGACATATTTTTAAATTCAGAATTTTTAAAAAATGAGAACACGAGCTGTTCATTGATATTGATCTTTATTAACAAGATCAATTTCCTCAATAAACTGAAATTTCCTCAATAAACTGGTAATTCTGAAGTCAAAACAAGGTTTTCATTTTTTAAATCAGCTTCAACAAGATCACATAAAGCAAATAATTTAAAGACAGGTTAGACACTGGCAGTGTTCTCCTAAAGGAGCCTGATATTTATGCCAGAAACATCCTTCAGACCCTAGATCAACAGGAAAAAAAGAAAAGAAAGAACATGGAAGGCAGAAGTAATGGCTGACCCTAAATTTATCTTTATTCAGGTTATGGTTCTTCAAAGAGCATCAGCTGTTTCGATTTGGTTTAAACAATGCTTAAATAGAATACATAAAAAATATGTTGTTTATATTTCTTCTGACTGGAAAGCAGAAAATTATGTGTTGCATTTCATCATATTTACTAATTTTATTCTAATTAAAACCTTCTAAATGCAAACAGTTTTGAAAGTGAATGAAATAATTTCCAAGTGACCGTGCCTGCCCCCCTTATCTATCCTATGAGCTCTGTGGTACCGCCTTCTTTTCAGCACGTGCTCTTCTGCACTTGGCTGACACAGAGATGAGGCTACAACCCGCGACACTCAGCATCAGAGTTCTCACTCCAGTGTGCATCTCGTTTCTCTGCCACGAGTTTGATGAATTGAGAGTGACTGGCATAAAGCTGGAGTTGATCACTGATGTCCACCCATTTCACTTTTCCAGCATCATCTCCAGCTTCTAGGGTAAGGTTATCCATTATCTCACCTATTGCCAAAGCACAACATCACCAAGAGAAAGTAATTCATTTATTTATGTCCTTTTCAACATAACTCTGTAGCTTCAAGTATTCTTACTGAAAACAATTTAAATCATTATTGTATTAGGTGCCCCAGGGAATTAAAAACTAGAAGCTTCCAAATTTTCCAAATGCCCAAATTTTAACCACATTGCTAAATTTTAAGTAGAGGCACCAGTAAGGAAGCTTTTCTCTTTAAAAAGTAAGAATATTGGCTTTAGCTTTAAAAAAAAAAAAAAAAAAGTGTTCATATTAAATGAGTATGAAACTTACATCAAAACAAGTTCTAGAGGGATTGGAGATTTAAATGTAAAAAAAAAGAAAAACAATTATTGGCAATTCATTTTACACTCTTAAGTGGACCTTTCTAAAATAAGCATGCGGGTGCCTGAGCAGCTCAGTCAGGTAAGTGTCTGACTCTTGGTTTCAGCTCAGGTCATGATCTCATGGTTCACTGATAGCACAGACAACATGGGATCCAGCTCTGCATCAGGCTCTGGGCATATAACTTGGAGCCTGCTTGGGAATCTCTTTCTCCCTCTCCCTCTGCCCCTTCCCCCTGCACCCCCCCCCCAAATAAATAACCATGACACCAAACCAGAAATCATAAATGAAAATATTTATATTTACAAATGAATATATTTATTAAAATCTTTATAATTATCAAAAAAATTAAAAATAAAGCTCTTAATCACTGTTGGGAATGTAAATAGACTATTTCTGTAGGACAATTTGGCAATGCTTATCAAGAGCTTTTAAAAAAGCAAATGCAGGGGCGTCTGGGTGGCGCAGTCGGTTAAGCGTCCGACTTCAGCCAGGTCACGATCTCGCGGTCCGTGAGTTCGAGCCCCGCGTCGGGCTCTGGGCTGATGGCCCAGAGCCTGGAGCCTGTTTCCGATTCTGTGTCTCCCTCTCTCTCTGCCCCTCCCCCGTTCATGCTCTGTCTCTCTCTGTCCCAAAAATAAATAAACGTTGAAAAAAAATAAAAAATAAAAAAAATAAAAAAGCAAATGCTGCGGCACCTGGAAGGCTCAGTCGAGGAGCCAACTCTTGATTTCAGTTCAGGTCATGATCCCAGAGTCGAAGGACTGAGCCCGTCATTGGGCTCCATGCTGAGCATGAAGCCTGCTTGAGATCCCCTGCCTCCCTCCCTCCCTCCCTCTCTCTGTCTCTCCCCCTGCTTGCACTCTCTTTCTAAAAGAAGAAAGGCACCTGGGTGGCTCAGTCAGTTAAGCAGCCGACTCTTGGTGTTGGCTCTTCATGATCTCATGGTTTGCTGACAGCACAGAGCCTGCTTGGGATTCTCTCTCCCCCTCTCTCTCTGTCCCTCTCCTGCTTGCTCATGCTCTCTCTCAGAATAAATAAACTTTAAAAAAAAAAAGAAAGAAAAGGAAATTGCTCTTTGATGAGAATTCATTCCACAAATACCAGAGTGCCTCTTATCAAGTCAGTTTAATAAACACAAGTTTACCTGTTTCATCATGGTAGTTCACAGCTTCTGTCTCCATCCATGCATTATCAGTGTTTCGAGGATCATCAACATATCCTTTATATATCTATTTTTAAAAGGAAGCAGACAAAAAAAGTGTACAGTCAAACACGAATGGGCGGAGCAGATGCCTGCTACATCAGAAATGTAAATATCCTATTACAAAGCAGTGTGCATATAATTAACTGTACATTATAAAGTTAAGATGGTAAATTACATGTCATGTTTTTTTTACTACAATAAGAAAAAAGTGCCAACCTAAAATTGTCAGGAGGCAATAATTAAGCATTTATTTATGATCAGAGAACTGCAAATCTGAGTACAGAGATGTGGGTAGCAACCCAGTGTCCCACTAGGGAGCAAAGTCAGAGGTTTTTAAGATGGGAAGAGAATGCTTGTATAAGTTGTTTTCAAAGAATTTTGACTGGTGTTACTGCAGAAAACTAATCTTGAGTGAATATAATTGGTTGCTAAGGCTATCACTAAGCAAGTCCCTTTTGTAGCAAGTTGCAGGTGTTTGTGTAGAGTCTTTGGAATATTTGCGGTTTAGCCCAGTTTAAAAGATCAGGGCTCCACCTGGTGAGGAAGTCCCACCTTCTTAAAGGCCTCTCAGCTCCATTTTAAAACCCCTTGATAATAAGTGACTCCTTATTTCACCTTTCACAAGTGAAATGTAAGTATCATAGAAACTTTCATGTAACATTCCACATGCTTGTTTTAAATTTCCTAGGATAAGTATTCTCAAGGTCAGCTTTAAAATTCACAAAACCCTCAACTCTTCAGACTCTAATTTCATAATTTGAGAACAGTCTTATTTGGGCCATATGACTTTTTTAAAGGCTCTAGAAATATTTTTCTGTGATTATATATAAGTATATTATATATATATATATATATAATTTCTGTGATTATAGTTTCAGACATACAAAGATAGATTTTTTTAGTTTAAAAAAGAAGATCTATAAATAAATTTAGTAAAGACTAATACTTAAGCTATTAATATAGGGAAAGATTTGGATCTAGCCATCTAACACAAACGTGACCCCAAAAGACTGAACATAAATAAATAAGAAATCCTAATTCTAGAAAGAAAACAAAGCAATTCAAACAAAAGCCAGCAAAAAAGAAACTCTTTTTCCTTATTACCAGCACACATATACTTTATAAGGTGATTTTTTTTAAATCACAAAGGGTATGTAGACAAAACATAAGACTTAAATGGTTATCAACCAGAAAAACTCTGAATAACATAATTTAAAATGTAAACGTACTCTCAAAAGAGCTAAATTTATGTAAGTTTTTTTAAAAGGTTTCCAGATGGATGGGTGTGTTCAGTGTCACGTTGGCTCACATCTAGTCTAAAGAAAAACTAAGAGGAAAAAAGTGTATTCTAATAAATGTAACTGACCTAAAGTTGGGCTATAAAAGTTTAAGCAGAAATCTATTCACAGTGAAGATCTATAATTTGTTTCTATGAATATGTATTTCAAATACACAGGTTTTACCTATCAGATTTCCAGGTGAACTTTTAAGGAATTTTCACTAATCCGTGAGGCTAAAATCCTTCATGGGAACCACCATTTCTTACCACTAGATGTTCCTGGCTGAAGAGTTTGTGCAACTGTTCCTCTAATTCTCTCTTTTCTGCACTGGATTTCTGTAAGGAGTTGAGAGCTTCCTCACCAAATTCTCTTTTCAGTGTAGCACTAATCTTCTCTCCTGGGTCCACCATCCCCTAATAGCCACATTATTTAAAAAAAAAAAAAAAAAAAAGTAATAAGCTTTAATTCATTCAACAAATATTTCCTGGGTGATGCAGTAGACACATTGTTCTACCTGGCCATAATCGTGATTCCCATTCTCCTGTGATATGTTCTTCTCTAAACCATTTGATTCTAGTAGAAGTAGCCAATCAGGGTATCTCATGTATTTGCAGTAATTTGTCCAAGGTTAGCCAATAGTAAACTGAGCCAATAAGACTCCTTTCCTGGTATCTTCTAAACTCAAGCTAAGGAAGGAAGGCCTGGAGGCAAGATGGAATATAGCAAGCCGAAATTTCCCCATTGTCCATCCCATTCCAGCCACACTGACCTCCTGAATCAGTGTCTAGGACATGCCAAACAAATCCCACCTAAGGCCTTTGCACCTGCTATTGCTTGTGTCCAACATGCTTTTCCCTAGATACCCACATGCATCGCTCATTCACCTTCTTCGAATCTTTGCTTACATGTTACCTTCTCAGACCTTTTATAACCACTCTAATCTCAAATTGCAAACTCTCAAACATTTCCTAGTCTCCTTCTTTGCTTTAGTTTTTTCCTTAATATTTATACCTTTAAACATACAATAACATATTTTATATTATCTGTTTCCCCCACTGGTATGTGAGCTCCAAGAAAACAGGGATGTTTATGTTGCTCTGTTATATTCTCAATGTCTAATATATCAGCTGACAAAAAACAGATCTCAAAATATACTGATTAGATGAATGGTTTTCAATATGACATCAGGGACAACCACTTCCTTACTGATCAGAATTTCAGATGACAAAAATATAAAATCCTACGATGAAATCATTACCGTGTTTTACACTAAGCATGGGTGAAGTTTGACAATTTGGCTCATAATAATTAACCTAAGCTTTTATTACAGTCACCTGGGATTTTTATTTCCAATCCATTTTTATCCTACAAAGAAAAAAAACAACCATTCTTGCAGATAGCAGTATAAGAATCATCCTCTTTTCAAATTATCTTCATTTCACAATATGGCATAAAATATAAAACCCTCTGTTGCACACATACACATTTCAAAAAGCCACTTCAAATTTACCACTGAAATGAACTCAACAAAGGTACAACTGTTCCTGATGATACTACAGAAATTTTAAAAACTGTAAGGAGGGGTGCCTGGGTGGCTCAGTTGGTTAAGCATCTGACTTTCGGCTCAGATCATGATCTCACAGTTTGTGAGTTCTACCTCCACTTCAGATCCTCTGTCCCCACCCTCTTTCTGCCCCTCCCCAGCTTGCACGCGCGCGCGCGCGCTCTCTCTCTCTCTCTCTCTCTCAAAAGTAAATACACATTAAAAAAAAATTTTTTTAACTACAAGGAAAAGTAACAAGAATTATCTTTTTTATGTCTAAAGTTAATGAGAATTCAATAAACCAATGCTAACAGTCTTACCTTGGACTTGGAAGTAGGGGTTGAGTTCTGAGATGGGACCCAACATGTATGAATATCTACTTTATGCCAGGTGTTTTATATGCTACCACTACTAATCCTATGAAGTAGATATAATTATGTAAATTTTAAAGAGAAAGGGGGCACCTGGCTGTCTCAGTCAGTAGAGCAACTCTTAATCTCAGTGGTGTGATTTAGAGCCCCAAACTGGGTGGAGAGACTACTTAAAAAATAAAAATTTTAAAAATTTAAGGTAAGTGTCTGAATTCTGTATTCTCAGCTCAAAGTGGGAAGGCCAACGTACAAGCCTAGGTCTAACTCCAAAGTCCATGTTCTTTTCCAATGGCTTTATAATTAGACTCAAATTCTAACAGCCTTGATGTATTATCCTACACTTGCTATTGACAGACTTCATTGCAGTGATAAATGACAAAAGAATTACTAAGTGAAGTGTGAAGGAATGGAAAATAAATGGAGGATAAAGATCTACATACAATAACCTTGCAGTAAATGAAGCTAAAAAGAACTTTAATTTTAATTCTTACCCCTGGGATTGCCCATTCTCCACAGTCTTTCCTTTTTATTGCCACAAACTGTAAGATGTTTTTCCCAGAAACAGGGTGGGTAATTTTATTTCCACTTCTATCCCTTTTCCACCTGTAAATAGTAATATAAAATCATAATGGATTTTGAAGAATAAGGATCTATCTCAAACTTGAGACAAAGTTATAATGATGTATTTTTCTTTATAACAAGAGTATTATAAATTCACCTCTCAGCTAGTTTTACCAAAAAAATTATTTTGTATTAGAAATATCCTGGGGTGCCTGGGTGGCTCAGTTGGTTAAGCGTCCGATTTCGGCTCAAGTCATGATCTCACAGTTCGTGAGTTTGAGCCCCGTGTTGGGCTCTGTGCTGACAGCTCAGAGCCTGAAGCCTGCTTTGGATCTGTGTCTCCCTCTCTCTGCCCCTCCCTCGCTCATGCCATGTGTGTGTGTGTGTCTCTCTCTCTGAAAAATAAACAAACATTAAAAAAAAAAAAAGAAATATTCTGTATTGAGCACTGTTACAAACCAAGTCAGATGTCTACTTTCCAAAAAAGATATTCTCTGTAATAAAAATTCAGAATATAAGTAGTTTTTATTAAAGAATTGTCAAAAAAGTTTAAAAGCAGAACAGAATTTAGAGGATGGGTCATAAAACTTAAAAACATAGTCGAAGGATCCTTTTTAAGAATCACTTTAATATAAGAGATCTGGTAATAATTCCTTTTAATGGGTCACTCTGTTATCAAAACAGAGATTACACAATGCAGATTACACAATACAAGTTCAGCTGGTCTCAACAGTAGTGCTTCTCAATCTTTATGCCCTTTCTTAAAAAACAACAAAAACAAAAAAACCACAAAAACCTCACTCTATCCTTTAGTTTTTAAAAAAGTATCAAAGTGGGGCACATGGGTGGGCTTAGTCGTTTGAGCATCTGACTCTTGATTTCAGCTCAAGTCGTGATCCCAGGGCATGGGATCAAGCCCTGCATCAGGCTCCACACTGAGTGTGGAGCCTGCTTTGGATTCATTCATTCATTTTCTCTCTCTCTCTCGCCCCCCCCCGGGGGGGGGCCCGGTCCCGCACGCAAGGTCTCTTAAAAAAAAAAAAAAAGTATCATGGTTATGTTAATTTTAGAATGAACTTTTTCTTTTTTTTTAAAGATTTTTTTTAGGTTTTATTTTTAAGTAATCTCTACACCCAACATGGGGCTCAAATTTACAACCCTGAGATCAAGAGTCACATGCTCTACCAACTGAGCCAGGCAGGCGCCCCAAGAATGCACTTTTTCTAACCATAGCCTCTTGCCCAGAGATGCTGATACATCTCCCTTTCCCTTCTCTACCCCCACCACACCGAATTTTAAGAATTGTTCTAAAACTATCTTAGGCAAAGAAAAAGATTTTGAACCTCTAGTACTAAACCAAAAAAGAAAGCCTATGATCTAATCATTGCTTTGAATTAGAATCAATGAAATTAAATGAGTTTAAATAGTTCTCCCCCCTCCTGCAAATAAATAAATAAATAAATAAATAAATAAATAAATAAGTTTCCAAATTTCTTTATATAGTGGTTGACTACCATATCTAACCCATAATTCCTGCCCTGAAAGAGCTCATAGTCTAGGGGTGGAGCTAGACATGTAAGTGAATAAATTATAAGAGAATGACAATTTGATGAGGACAGTAAATAGAAATGAAAGAATAATTAGTACAAGAAGACAGCATCTGTTTTTAAGGATGCCAGACATAGGTATGACATGAGCAAGAAACAAAGGTATAAAATAATATGTTCAAGAAACTGAATCTATAGGTGGGGTCTGGCACCATGGGCACCACAGAGGGAAAGAAGGATGATGAGGCCAGATGAGTAGGCAAAGAATTCATCAAATTCATCTGCTTAGAGAGCCAAAGAATATTTTTAAGCAGGGTAAAACCATAAGCAATTTGTATTTAGAAAGCTCATTCACTTTGACAAAAGTGTGGAGGCTGGTTGGGAAGAAAGCAAGACTGGAGGCTAGAAGACTGTTACCACTGATGAGGAAGCATAAGGCAAGCAGAGAGCAAAGTACAAGCTGGCATACCCTGCCCCCCCCCCCAAGTGGGATATGTGTGGTATTCCTCAGGCACTCCTAGATGCCGAAGAACAAAAGAAAAGAAAGAAAACAAATGGTTAGAGATCACAGTCATGCAGGACAGGAGTCTCTATCAGTTTACATATACCTTAGTAAATTACAAGAAAAAGGCAATCTTATCAATATCCTAATCTTCTGAAACCTAGACTCAGTTTCCTGGAGCCCCTAATATCACCCTCCCCTCCACAGTGATGTGGGGAACAAAGGCAAGAAGGAAATGGCAGGTAAAATTAAATTTCCTTATAACCTGCAACCTGCAGCCCACTGACAAATACTTGAAGCAAATGCAGAGTATAACATTTCTCCAGGAACCCCCTGCAGTCATAATGTTGATGCCTTACTAGAGGGAAAACAAGCTTAGCTTGACAACAGCAAGGCCTCAGGTATCTTAGGAGTCCTCTTTAGCACACTGAAGTCCCTCTGGAGGCCTCCCTTTTGTCTTTACCTCCCTCAACTCCACAGTATGTAACCAGTCACTCCTCACAACCCCAGTGCAGCTCTTTCTGCCCACAGGTCCTGTCCCTGTGCTTTAATAAAATCATCTTTTTGCACCAAAGATGTCTTCAAGAATTCTTTCTTGGCCATGAGTTCTGAACCTCACCATCACCCCAAAACCTCATCACCATGATCCAGGTACAAGATTGAGAACAGGAATGAAGGTAGACGTGGTACTTTTACTTCTTAAGGCCCATTTCTATAGCACTTATTATGTACCTGATACTGTTAAGTCTTTCATGTATTTACCCATTTAAGTCTCAAAACAACCCTATAAAGTAGTTGCATTATTATCTTTATTTTACAAATGTGGAAAATGAAGCACAGAGTAGATTAAACTTGTCCAAGACTGCAGAGCTAAGTGGTATAAACCAAAATTTGAACCCAGACAATCTGCTTCCAGAATCTGCACTCTTAATCACCATACTGTCTGCTTAAATCAAACAAACAGAATGTTTATACTAATTGGGTAAGAGGAGGGTGTGAGAAGGTGAAAGATGTGAAAGATGTGAAAAGGTCACATAACCTGTTTACCTTCTCAGATTTTACCCCAAAGGCACTCATTTAAGAACTACCAAGCAGAGTAGTTTCTTCTTTTGTTCCTTATTGTAAATACCAAATAATGAGGGAAACAAAGGCAGAAGGAAATGGCAGATAAAGTTAAATTTCCTTACAACCTGCAGCCCACTGACAAATACTTCAGGCAGGTAGGGTATAACATTTCTCCAGGAACTCCCTGCTGTCTTAATGTGAATTCTTTGCTAGAGGGGAAAACGATCTAGCTGACAACAGCTAGGCCTCCTGGATCCTGTGAGTCTTCTTCAGCATATGAAAATCCCTTTGG